TATAAGTAATTATGGCCTCTTTATAACAAAGATAAATAGTCTCTTAATATATAATCTCTTAATTTATTTGAAAATTTGAAGGCGTGCAACTCATTTAGGCCACCAAAAAAGTAGAACAATAGTTCAAATAATAAAAACTATAAAAATTCTTAAATGTATATATATGGAGCATTTTGATCATTTTATTTTAGGTCTATATGTCATACATTTGAGACCAACCTGATTTCTTACAAAAAGGTAAAATAAAAAAATATATCATGCCATCCCAACCATACAAATTCGATAAGATAATTAGGAGCCTCTAAATGGGCTAGCAACAGGTCAGGCCAGTCCTGGCCCTAGATCGGCTTAGTGCCTACTCTAAGAAAGGCCAAAAAGCCAAAATAAAAATTAAAAATATAAAGAACAAAGGCAGGGCCAACTGTCTTGCCGTAGCCCAAGCCGAGGCCTAACGTGGCCCACCCCTCTTGCCATAGAGGGTAGTCTTTGGCTAGGCCCTTGGTCTACATTTTGTAGCCCAAACCCTAACTTTAGGGCCCAGCTGGCCAGCCCACTACCACGCATACCTAATAAATAGGGTTTCCCCCTATGAGAGTTGATGATGTCACTCAAAACTTGGCTTGTAGGCCATGGCCACCAACGTTTTTGCCGTTCTACTTTGTCATTTTTATTCTGCCACCCAGAACATAAATGGCATGCCATTTTATAATTATCAAGGAGACACGAGTTGAATCTCTAAGATCATATTTCGTATTACCACTCATGTTTTGGGTGGGAATAGAAATGGCTCAAAGATTTTTTGCTCCTTTGAGAGCATATTTCCATTTAATCCCGCGGGTAAAACTCATTATTAGAGTATGTTTGGGGCTTCGAGTTTTATTTAGGTAATATCTTCAACTCATAGATTAATCTCAATAAATAAAATTTCTAAATTGCACTCCTTGTGGGCTTGAAAAAAATAATATATGAAGATTAAATAAAGGCCATCCAAATTTTGTGAAAATCAGATCTAAGTATTAGATAAACTTTATATCATTGTAATTGCTCCTTTGATTTAATAATATTTAGTACTCTTGTTAAAAATAGAAAAAGGAAAAAAAATCTAAGTATTAGAGAGACTCAAAATTATGTTTTTTTAGAAATGTTTATCTAATAAATATTAGTTAATTTCCAAAATTTCACATCAAAAAATCCTCCAAAGCTTCTACATGAGCGAGTAAGTTTACAGTGTTGCTCCCGCAGGACTATAACATATGTGCTCCATAGGAAATAAAGTTTACATAGAAGATTTTATTAATGACAATGGCAATCCACGAAAAAACTTCTTAGCTTTTTTATTTAAATGTCAATTAAATTTTTTATGCTCGAGAGGAAGCATCGTACCTTCATTCCCTTGAAAAATCCTACTTAGGAGTAGATGTAGGACCTCAAATATTGGAGAAAAAATCTAAATAAAGGAAAAAGAAAATACATAAAATTATTTTCGATATATATCATCAATATTTGAAAATTATATCATAGTATTTAAAAACTAAAAAATTGAGTTTTCATTTTTCTTAAACAAAAAAGTTAATATAATGTGTCAATTTTGTACATTTGGAGTGAGGCACACCACAAAAATAGTCAAGAAGGCAGTATTCCAACGTTTGGAAAAGCCTCGCATTGATTATCGCAACAACAATAGCGTTTCAACGTTGGAAAAGCCTCTAATTGATCATCTCAACAACAAAATACATGGATATGACAAAAATAATTTTCATCATCATTAGAGTTTTTTTTCAACTTTTTGGAATAAACTACACAAATCCTGGTCCGTCAATTTTTTCTTATCTAAAGTGATACTCTTAGTGTGGCCATAAGTGTCTATATCTTTTCTCACTACTTCTAACAATGTCTTTTTGGGTCTTATTCTTGCCCTTATTTAACTTTACTACTACGTCGTCGGGTAGGGTCGAAGGTACGACGACACGGGGTAACGTAGGTAG